TCTTTGTTGTTGTGTTTTCTTCATCTTACCCGTTCAATAAAGACTCAAAATAACATAGAACTTATTTCCAAGAAAGAACTGCGGTAACAAATCAGGTAAGGGGATGTGTTTGCAGAGCGTGTGCCTCTTCAATTGCTTGTTTGTTGTGCTAACCTGAGACAAACTGCTGTGTTTAAGATGACTGTGATGTAGTTTCTGCATCTAAATAACTCAATATTCAATCACCCTGCAAGCTTAAGGAGACTGCACCTATAAAATAGTCTATCTATTGCATCAAAGTATAAAGTATGTCACTAACAATTTAAAAATCTATAGAAAAAAGTTTGTTTTGTGTAAAAAATGCTGGAATTTTGTCAAGATACACATTTTGAGAGGTGAAAATTAACACATTCCCATTTAACACACCACAGAGAATGTGTTTTGGTATAATTTAGTGGTTTCTAAACTGGTGGAGACCCATTGGTGTATCGCAGCATGGGATGCAGAGAACGGGCGAAGTAGTTTGCACGGGTGCAGCTGTAGTCTTCCTTGGTACACGGAACCAGGAAAGCCAGGACTAAAAGCAGGGCACAGATCAACTGAAAAGGTAAAGCTGCTCGTAATACACGGTGAAAGAAGGAGCGAAACCACGGAACAGCTTGATCAGGTGCTTGTGGATGGCTTTCACCTCTGAAAAGGAGAAGGAAAAAAAAAAAAAGGAGACAAAGGGGAAAAAAGGATTTTAGAGTTTGAATGACGCAAGTTGTTTTAACTCCCTCCCTAGGAGTCACACTACCCCTTTCCAAGACGCTGGGCCGCGTATCTACAGGAAAATGCACTGGCTTGGGTTTACTGTCCTGACTCCTGAAGAAACACTTACGTCTAATAGCTTAGATCGGTGCATTTTTACCCTGTTTTCAGATGCCAACTGAACCTTTCCCAAGAGACAAACCAACCACTCACGCTGAAGTATAAAGGACAGCCACCAGTCAGACTGATCAGGCTCTCCTCTGCCTTGGCGTTACCGAGATGTCCTTTGAATGGGCCCCTGTCCTGGGGGTGAGGCTCTCCCTTCGTGGCCTATTCGCCATAAATGGCTCTAAGCTGCAAGTTTCTTTGTCCGGGTATGCGGGTGGAATTGAAGGGAGATTTGAAATGAAAATATTCCTCCGCTGGGCACAAAAAATATTTTCTCAAGACTAAAGCCAAGGTTGCACGCCGGTGCGGAGGCCTGGGAGCAGGAGTGCTACAGGGAAACCATTCCCCAAGGTGCAGCCCGGAGAAGACCCTGCAGGGAGGCAGAAATCCCCTCTCCCTGCCTGTCCACCTATGAGGAACATCTGCCCAGGTTTCTGCTGGCACTTGCTCGCCTCTGCAAGAGAGCAGGCTAATAGAACACGATACCTCGTGCTGCTCCTGCTTCTGCCACCAGTCCTTCTCCTCCGCGTCATCTGTTGAGAGAAACAGCTGTTAGGACCCAGGTTTCAGAATCTACAAGAAGTTTCTCTTTCTCAGAAAAGACAGTTGCAGGCTTTAAAGTCCCACTGTAAATTCTGTAATAAGGTACCTGCGTCTAACAGGTAAGATGATTACACCTGAGGAACTTTCAGGCTAAATACATCAAAATAGGCTCTATGCTGATAGCAAAATATTGGAAAATACTTGCCTTCTTCAGAGCACGCCTGAATTTTGCTGAGACAAGCCTCCTGCCTCCCGAGTCCAAGTCAGCTGGAACTAGACCTCAGGAAGTTCATCTAGTCCAACCTCCTGCTCAAAGCAAGGTGCGCTACGAGACCAGACCAAAAGCACTACCCTGCCTCCTCTTCCAACCCCTCCAGGATGGAGACTGCCCACCCGCTCTGGCCAATCCATTTCATTACAGTAACAGCCTCGTGGTGCTGTAGTTTTTCCTATAGGCAGACTTAAGTACTTGCACCTTCCAGTTAAGTCAGTCTTTCCTAAGTGCCTTTACTCTTAACTGGTTATTACTTTTCAGTAAGAAAGATATGTGAACATGTACTTAACCTCTTGACTCACCAGATTTCTTTGTATCATTTTTAAGTCACGTGAAACTTGTTTAATATGCTGTTCCAGTTTCCTTCCAGTTACACGGATCTTCTCTTCAGCTTCAACGTAGTCGCCATAGGATTTAAGCAGCAGGTGAGCTGTGAGTTCTTCAAGTGTGTTTACTTTAAGCTGCTTTTCTAGTAGCTCATTCTGCAGTTGCTTAGAACAGACAAACAAAAACCAGTGCAACAAACTGTTACACTCAACTTTAAGGATGTTCTCCTAAAAGGAGAAACTCTGGAAGGCTTTAAAGAACAACTCAACCTGCCTGAGAATCCGCAATGCAACGGAATGGCTTTTACAGCCACATATGAAATGAAGTTCTCTTGAAAAGACCACTTGTACGTGCTTACACTAACATTTAGAAATAGCTCTAGCACTAATTAATCCATATGGAAAAGACACTAAATCTTGGAAATTAGAAGTCTTACTCCAGCATAAAGACTGTTCATAAGGGACTTAATTATGATGGATAATTACAGGAAAAAATGCCTCATTCAGGCAATCTCTTAGTCCATTTCAGAAACCAGCCACATGCCTGAACACAGCAGGTTCAAGGACAGGCTGCAGACACCCTGAGAAATGAACACACTGATCTTCATTTCGTGGTGAGAGCTACTGACTCGCTGGAAAAGCTGAGGTGCTGTAGTTAAGACTACACTTATCATTAGCTCCTTTTGGCAATCCAGTACTGTACCGAGGTCAGCATTTGGACCTGGGAGTTGTATTTCGTCCCTTCGGGTAACAGCACTGTCTAACCAGAGGATTAGATTTTGGCTCCAATCATGGAACTCCTAGACAAACAAAAGAATTGCACGTAAAAGAAAAAACACTTTTGCAGTGCTTTCACCTGGCTTTGCCTACAAAGTGACCAGTACAGAGATTGGACAGTCAACAACAAATTCACAATTAGCGAGGCTACAGCAATTCAAACTATTCCACCTATGTAATGAAAGGGTATTATCCAGTTCAAAGATGCCTTTACCTACCCTTTAAACCCAACAGAGTAAGTTCATAAGAAAATTAAGTGTCTCGGATTCTGAGCAACCGTTTCACTAAGGTGCAGGAATTGCCCCTCTCCCCTTACTGATCCCGCAGCAGCACCCTGCAGAGGAGTTTTCCCTTATAAGCTGGCACGTGGTACGCACCTGGTAATGCAGCAGGGTTTCTTGTAAAACTTTCCTCCAGTTGTCCAGTGTGTGAGTTGCTTTGTCCCAATTCAAGTTCACCTTCCGAATCCTGTTCTGAAGCTCCTTGAAATCTGTGCTCTCTCTTTTCTGGAGTTCTTCCTTGTTCTGGTTAATAGTAAGCAGCAATGCCTTGTAGTTATCAAATGATTTAAGCATGTCCTGGAAGAAAAAGAGGATTAGAAGGTTCTATGAATGATGAAAACATGGTGCTTATTTACAATAAAACTATACCCTTAAAAGAATCACAGGTATTGGGGAAAGCTGTTTGAATCTGGTGGCTTTTCAGTTACTGCTCAGAACATGTTAAAAAAAAAAAAAAAAAAAAAGCCCCCTGCCTTAAAGTCAGAACCTTCACTCTGAAATAAACAAATCAGGCTGGACTTGTGCTTCTACCTAAGTCACAGGCATTACGTCTTAATCCACATCTGCCCTTCATTCCTCTGAACTGTCTCCCTGACATTTGGACAAATATTCCCATAGGTCATCACACGTTTTTTCCTCTTGATTTACAAAAGTTTTGCTGCCCCAGAATCCTATAATAATGCCGAAAGGGACACCTGGAGGTCTGTACTCCATCCTCCTGCTCTAAGCAGGGCCAGCTTCAAACTCAGAGTAGGCTGCTCAGGCCTCATCCAGTCAAATTTTGAGTTTGTTGCAGGATGGCGATTCCCCATCCCCTCCGGGCACCTGGTCCCACACCAGGCCACCCGCTGTGAGAAATTCCTTTTCTTCTCTCTGGTTGGAGTTGCCATCAGCCCACTTCTCTGACTTGTCAAGGTTCCCCCGAATGGCAGCCCTGCCTGCTTTCCTCCTCTCCCTTAA